ATGGCTGATCATGAGACTCAAGCTTTGTGTATTGTCAGTTCAGTCACCATGGTCGACATATTGTTTCCATAATGTTATTGAAAAGGCCTCCTCTGTTAACGGACCGAGCAGACACGAGTGTGTGGACCCCAGCGTTGAGGGGGCCCATGTGTACATTGGCTTTATTAACATTTCTCATTGGAGATTCAAAGATTTCAGTCTTTGTGAAAAATGGCCCACAGTTACTCTCCTGACACTGAAGACATCTTATTGGCTGTGATCACAGGTGGCTACAGGCTCTACAGTACTTTAACATTTCTTTTGATTAGTGAGCTGATGAAATTATTACCCTGTGTTAGTCATGGCAGTGACTGTCAATGTAGACTTCAAACACCCTCACTATTTCCTCCTGATTGGAATCTCACTACCAAACACCATTTATTTCTTAAAATACACCATCAGAAAAAATTACAACACAAAAGTCATTATACCTCTTGTTAAACTTATATAAATTTTTCATATACCTGCTGTTTTTTAGGGGCCTTTAACCTGCCAGTGCCGCCTATATTTCACATGTTTGGGAGGTTGATGGAGATGGGAAATATGTGTGCTGAAACTAGGAGTGGCCGGTAAATACAGAAGCAATGAAATACACATTCTTTTGATTCTATTGAAAGATTTTGTAATGACTTATAACACAAACAAAGGTGTATGGACTAATGCAGTGCATGTGCATTCATTTATGTTGATAGCCTAATATACAGTAGTAGAGTGGAGGGGGGCATGCTGGTGAAATGTCCAAATGCGAAGTAAAATCAATTTCTGCTCATTGTCACAACATAATAAGGGTTTTCTTCATAGTGGCTTTACAGTGAGCTCACTGACACAATACTTCGTGTGCTGTGGAAGCTTGTTGCAGATGTATGGACTTAAAAGATTTTTCAGTGGTCCAAGGTGGTTGTAGAGGTTTACATGGCTGCAGAGCATGCAAGGGTGAAGTCTGTTAACACTGACAGATTCAATTTGTACCAGTGTGGCGATGGAGGTTTTCTCAGTATCTATCCAGTACTGCTGGTTCTTAATTCTCTATCATTCCGTTGACACTGGACTTGTTTCAGTGTCTGTGTTCACCAATGAAATTTGCCAGTTCCACTGATGCAGTTCCAGTTTCCTTAGTTGCATGACTGTCTTGAATTTTTTTAAAAGGTTCTAGTCCAATCAATTGAAAGTGTAATGATACGGCATTTTGTTTCCCACAGAATATGCTAAACATGATTAATTAGTAACTTATATGCTGCTTGTTGTATGTTGGTTGTTAGCTGCCACTGGTGTGCTTTTACAACTTCACAGGCTCGATGTTGGCAGCTACAAGTGCATCCATCAACAGCCTTGTAATCTATGGAAAAGTATCCTTCAGCTAAACACTGATCTTTTCTTACTCCCTCTCTTTATCTTCACATACAAGAAACTAAGGGGCCTTTCACATAAATAACTAAGTATTTGAAAGGCCTCTGATCTGTTCTGCTCTCTGGCAACCGATTCAGTTAACATGGAAATGTAAATCGTAGCTGCATTTCCCCTAATAATACAGGAGCTGTCACTCTAAACAGACGGTAAACATCATTTACTTACCAAAGAACCATAACTGTTGGCATTTTAGGAAAATTAGCTCTTGTAATTAATTTCACATTTTCACACTGAATCTTTTTAAGTACATTCACCCACGCCAACACTGGACTAAAGCTTTTATTACAAGTATCACCAGTGCTTGATGGATCACCTTAAACATTTAATACACTCAGCTGATGCTTTTAGTAAAGTGAGTTACAATGACCCGGGGGTAGAATGTGAAGGTTGTCAGCATCAGAAACTGTCAGTAGTAAACAGGATGAAGATGAGCGCATCCTGCTTTAATTGAACTAAATTAGTTGAGTTCTTGTAGGTGAATCGATCTTTGACTTTGTTTTGTGTTTTCCTGCTTTTGCAGACAAAGCTCTCTGACAAGAAAAGCCTTGTTCATTTGAACAGATGCTACTTTCCGTCTTACTCTGCAACACAGGACATCTCTCTGGGGTAATAATGTTTTTGGTCAAACATAGTGTTTGTTGGCTTTAACTTTTTAAACATACAATTGTTCCCTAATTAGCTGGATGCTAATTAATTTATGCTCCCTTGTTTGATGTACAGTATCGCAATACTTTGAAAGCATCTGTGTTCTTTCTTTGCATAAATTTGTTGCATTTGCAGCTGAGTTCAAAAGAATCTGGACTGGGTTTAGAAAAGCATACATGCATTTAAATAATGCGCCCCATTTTTCGCCTCTGTTTGTTTTTAGTAGGAATATTAATGAATTAACATTTTAAACAATCCATCATTATTGTTGTTCTGCCACTTATTTTTAACTCAATTATAATTTAATAGATCATTTTTCCTAATGTGCACAGTATGTTCTCCCCACTTTGTTCACTACACAACAAAAGATTAATTGCAAATCAGAGGAATGATCAAAAACATGATAATCAAATTGCAACAATAAGTTGGAAATTGCAATTCTAATGCAATACAATAGGGTATGTGTTGCAAATTAATCACCCACTTGTCTATTATTGCATGTGTGTGCCTGTGTCTGTGTCTGTGTGTGTTTTCATACATGATAAACAATATATGCAATACATTGCTTGCGCTTTTAAAGTCGTTGTAAATGAACACCGTGGATTTATAGTGGCTTCCTCCATTGTTTGACATGTTTATCAAAACAACTGAAAGCGCTCTCACTACCCTCAAACAATAATGGCATTCCTCAGTATCAGTAGCGCTGCATTGATCAGGATGCCTTTGTCTGTGATTTGTAATTCAAGCAGTTTTATACGACTTTAAAGTTTTCAGCGGGAGACTGATGTCACATGAATAAATAAGACAATGGAGCCACACCTTCCTTGGCTGCAGGTGAAGTTATAGCTTTATTCCAATTTGTTAAATAATAAGGTGGCCTGCCAATTAAAATCATTAAACATGCGAAACATTTGGAGGAAAAAGGTCAAATAGCCTTTATGAACTTGTATCGATTTGGAATTGCTGAAAAAGGTCACAACTTGCCATGTGATGAACATGTCTAACAATGGCTTCCCACCTTTGCACCCCACAGATACGATTAGTCAAAATAAAAACCTGTACTTATTCCACTATGGTGTTTGATAGTGGCATTTTTGGAATCATTAAAAAAATAAATATATATATATATATATATTTGTATCAGAAAACCTGGTACTCAGTAAGATCAGTGCCTGACCCCCCCAAAAAAATATCGGTTCAGATTTTGCTTTGTAGCCTTCACAGCCAAAAACATAGTGTGATTGTTTTTGTAAGCATCCTCTGTCTCTGACCTGTTGGAGTGTGGAGAGTTAAAGAATGAAGCAGGTGGTGAAGTTTGAAAGAGTCAAAACTCAGCTGTAGTGGCTCTCATCCAAACTCTAGTATTAGTAAACAAATGTATTTATCCTGCCGGCATCATATTGTGCGATGGAGCAGCAAATATTCCTTTTTATTCTCACATGCAGTTCAAAGTAAGAAATATAGAGATCAAATCATCTCAGCTTCAGATTCCTTGTTTTGCCAGTTGTCTACAGCATGTCAGAGACCAGCGGCACTGTCAGTTTAAAGAGGATGGATGCCTTAAGGTGTCACCTGACAGCCCAACGGACATGGCAATTCAGTCCCTGGAGGACGGGGGAGCAGCCAGCAGGAGGTGAATGGGCAGTAGCTAGGGCTAGAGGTCGTCATCGTCGGCCATCGCCAGGCCTGTCACTTTGAATGGGCCCCCAAATCATGTTGTCAATGGTGATGCATCGAGATCTCCCTCTGGCAAAAATTGGATGCTCCAAACTCAACGTGATTGATGCATTGACCAGGTTGTGCCTGCCTGTCCTCAGGATGTGTCCTTACCCTCGTTTGAAGATGAAGCAACTTAGACACAGCGGTGAAAGGGGAGAGATGTACTTCTGAAACTTGTTTTTGGTCCAATTTTTTGTGTTAGCTAGACCTACATCGTCGTATGATTGGCGTATGAAAGAATCTACTGTATCCATCAGCCTTGAAATTTATTAAAGATTTTACCTGCCTTTTCATTTTTCTTGGTACATCTTTTGTGGCACTGTTCAATTGGTGCTCTGAGAATGTTGTTCTCACTGTTTCCATTGATGCTGCGGGATTACATTATGGCCCGAAGGCAAATGCACAGCTTGTACATTCAGTAGGTGCCACAATGGATTGAAATGACAAATAACTGTTTTTCTGTGCAGCCTTTATGCATCCAAGGGCATGGCATTCTTGGGCCCTGGGTACTAGCCGTGGAGTTTTGTGAACATGAAATATCTTCTTTTATGTGTCATTTTTTTCATTATGCTCCCTCTGTGTCTCTCTTTCTCTGCTTTCCTCCAGTGGTTTCCCTTGATAGTCTCGTCTGGCCTGAGCTGCTCTCTTTATGCGTGTGTGTGTGTATATGTTTGTGTGTGTTCAAATGTTTGTATTCATATTGTTTTTGTTTCCCCATAATAAATGGGAATTTGTCTGTTACATGTGCCAGTGAATGTATGGATTTTCTGTCTGTGCATGCGTGTTTGTCGGCGCTCGATCATGTGTGTGTCTATCTAACAACAGGCACTAGAGATTTTCTATTTCGATAAAGCTATGTGGAACCTTGGGTTTGAGCCTTTGAATGCTCAGCGGGGGCCACAACGAGGAGAATGAGTATTGTCGACTACACACATGCTAGCCTTACAGAGGTGGCCCAGTTTGGAGAAGTTGCACCCTTTCAAGTCGTGCCTCTTCTCTCATTACTTATCACCAGAGTCTATATAGCCAGGATATATGCAGCCAAACCCAAAACATGTCGGCACACTCATTGCTTCTGTAATCTGTTTTTTTCTTAAGAAAGGATAAGAGAGAAAACAACTGTAACAACTTTGTCCTCCTGCTTGTTCCTCTCCCTCTCTTTCCTTCTCTCTCCCTTTCTTTGTTTGCAGGGCCTTTTCATCTTCCTGATATATGGGGTGTACAACACAGAGGTAAGTCTGCATTGTGTCTCAAGGCTGTCGGAGTGAATGAGAGAAATGACAAGTTTCTGATGGGCTCCCTGCTTAAAAGCTGTGTGGGTGGGGTGTGAGAGTGTGTGTATGTATGTGTGTGTGCGTATGTGTGTGTGCGTCCGTGAATGTGCGTCTGTGGATGGGAGGAGGGATCGGAAGGAGAGGAGGGGACATCGTTTCCACGCGAGCATCCCACTGCCCTTCATGCTTGGACTAACTTATATGCATCCGAGTCCGACCATTAAACACTGACACGCCACGGTTCCCAGCCACTCATTCCTCACCCGCAATGGCTAATATTTCACTGCCTCTTTAAGTTTTTAAACTCACGGCCCTCCATTTAGCATCCTGACAAAGCCGCTAGCCAGGGCTCCGCAGGGCCCTAAGCAGTAGCCACAGCAAGATGAAAATAAGGAAAACAATATGCACCAACAATAAGCAATGAAAGAATGAGGAACTGTTGTATCGAGATGCTGCGTTATTACCATTTAGATACGCCGCTGGTTGGAGGGTGGGTGAGCGGTGAGAGACAGAGACAGAGAGAGATACAATTTAATGGATGAGACTGGAGTCATGAAAATCACTCTTGGTCAAAAATGGCTCTTACTGAATGTAAATCAGGTTAACTTTAGATGTGCAAAGGTGATATAACAGCTGATCTTCTTAAAATACGCCACTTTTTTCTGAACATGGGGTCTATTTCTCATTTGAAGACACCTCTCCCATACCAGACTTTTACGAGAAAGTATAAAAGGATTTGCTTTGTAGCACAGTTAACAATTCAAGACAGGGAAGTTTCACCCCCGATTTAACAGTAACAGTTTCATACCATTGCAGAAGTCAGTAAAGTAGTTTTCTGAAGATGCTTGCGATGATAAGATGATAGATAAGACGGCTGATATCAAAGCAAAATAAATATAAACTAAATTTAAAATTCTGTAAACACAGTTTCCTTTGTTAGGTGGATTTAACCACTGTTGACGGTCTTTGGTTCTGAAGAATGCAAACAAAAGTATTTTTTCATTTGCCTCTTGTGACTGATTATATATTCAAGGTTATTGTCAACATATAGAAGCAGTTTTTTTTAAGAGCTGGATAATATGCAGTCGTGTTACTTCAAAGATAACAGGCAATGTTACACTAGTCTTGAGAGTCCTTTATTTTAATTTTCATCACCTCAACCAACTTTGTGTTCTGGCTTAAGTAGGTTGTTTCAATGCTTGACAATTTTAACTCACCCTGTGTCCGTTACCCTATGGTCTCCACAGTTTGTGAGCAGCTCATGTGCATATTACAGCCTCCACATATATAGTGGCTGGTTTTAGTTATCACCGCCTCTGACACCTAGAAGGACAAGCGAAAATTAATCAAAATGCTTTTACAGAATGAACCACAAAAGTTGATTTTCTTCCCTGTAATCAGACTGGGAGGGAGAGGCCAGTGTGTGACAGGGAGGCTCCTCTTGTGTCATTTAAGCTAACCAGCCTTTATGGCAGGGGCCAGTGTCCTCTCCTTTAATCACATTGTCACATTAGATCACCATGAGGCACACAAAGGTATCAGAGAATGAAGCTTCTCAGTGAAACAAAGACTATAGAGTAAAAAAAAAAAAACTTTGAAACTAAAGTTGCTGTTAGTTGTCAACCTGGCAGAACAAATGAGTCTTTAACCATCTTAGGCTAAAGACAATTTTCTTTGAAATGCTAAAGAAAAGGTGGTGAAGCTCATGCTTCAAAGTCAGAAAATGCTCCATTCCCGAGGCTGGTTTCCAGGTTATTTATTATAATTATAGATATGGTGTGGAAGACAGACTGTGTCTGCTGCTATTACATTCAAAATGCAACGTTTTAATTGCTAATTACCTGACAATAGCTTTCCATTATTCATCGCAATTAGCTTTTCCTTGGTGGTCACCTTGTAATCCCACGCTTTGATGACCTTTTATTTCCATCAGTTCCAAGGATGTCGGCAGGTGTTGTCGGGAGCTCAGCTTTCATATGGTAATCACTTAGCACCCATTTACATGGGGAACCACGCTTTGCATCATGGCGAAACCTTGAGTGTGCGCAAAACCTCTTAAACACATAACGATCATCTAAAACAATGCCCTTCCCCTCATTGTCAAATGATTAATTAAGTTGTGTCATGTAATTGCCTCAGCATGCCGGCTGCTTTTGATATCAATGAAATCCCCAGGACTTACTTTCCCACATTAAATAATGTGAAGACGTTGTCTCTCCAACATCTGCACCGTGTCGAAGGCCTTCTGCGGATCTCCTCAGAAAAAGCAGCAGGGTTTTGTAAACATGATACGGTTGCTGTTGAATCTGCGCTGTCACAAGGCCCCGGCTCTCTTCATTATGTGGCCTTTCAACGGTGGCACGTATGCAAAACATCCTCTGTATACTCACGCTGTCTCTGAGACTGTGCGTGTGTGTTTGGTGTGGTGTCATAATTTATAACACGCAGCGACTTAATGAAGCCATAAGCCATAATGCATATTCACTAACGTGGTGGGCTGGACTGGGACGGGCCGTAGTGATGAGTTCCCAGCAGCTACAAATTTACAGTGAGTGCTGACAACGTGCAGGAACAAATTCATGTGTGTAGACACACACACACACAGATACAGAGCTCGTAATGCCAGAGGCTTTTCATGGAAGACACACTTAGTAATTCCTGCTGTTCTGGATGTGCTTTTGTTTGAATTATTAAACTTCATGATATTATGCTTCTCTTGTTTACAGTTAAGATGACGTCTTTAAAAAAAATAGTATGAATATTGTATTAAGATGTACAAATATAATATCTGCCATTTTTTAAAAATAAAAACAATCAGTAGACCATTTTATGAATCACTAAAATAACAAATACTCTATTATAAAATAAGGATCATAACTTTCAGGAAAATAATACTATATAATATAATCATACTAATTAACTGCTGCAGATTTTTCTTATTCCCTTAAAATGTGTAAAAATACGTTGAAGCAATTTTAGAATTTTTCAGAGAATTGTTTGTCTACCAAAGGTATTCCTAGTGATACTTAATTTACTATATGAAACTTTATGTATTAACCTATTATTGAATGATCAGAGGTTAATGCAGTTTTATCCAACAGAAACATTAGGATGTTTAATTATTGTTTTGTATAACCTGACGATAATCACACAGTATTTACATGCCATATTTAATGATACTTCTAATTAATCATAAATAATTGGATCATTTAAATAAAAATATGCCTTTTATTAAATTAGGAATTTAATATAATACAGTATTACAAAATGTATTCTCCATAAGTCTGTTAAACATTATTTTACATTTATTTTTTAAGGAGGAAATAAGGAGATGAATTACATATTAGGTTTACGTGTAAGTGAGATCACATCTATATACTGAAAATATATGTATGTACTGTATATCTCTGAGATCTATAAAATTCTTGTCTGGTGTTGTGAGTGTTAAATGAAGGTGTGCAGTACACTGTTTCATCCGGAGTGTAAAAATGTAATCTGTTCTGCTAGGGCGGTCCCTTCTCCTCCAATAGCTCCATTTGTTGGTCCCGGCGCTCTGTGTTGACAGATGATAGCTTGAAGTCGTCTCCTTAGTTTGCCAGCTCTATGTGTCACTTTCAAGTCCCATTAGCTACTGGGACATACTGGAACACACACTCTCTCTCTCACACACACACACACACCTCCCCTGCTGCTGCCCGTCAGTGTCTGCAAGCTAATGCTCAGAATTTGCTATGTCCCCTCCACATTCTTTTTTCCTTTTCTCCATTTTTGTCTCTGGGAGCACGCAGGCGTTTGCAGTGAAAGATTTGTGTTTTGATTCATTGTAAGTGTGTTTCATTGAGCGCTATGTCACATACACTTATCTCTTTCTTTGCCTTTCTTTCTCTCTTTCTTTCAGGTTCGCAGCACGGTCAACAGGATCAAGGAGAGGAGAAAAGCGCTTAATTTTTCAGTATGTAATCCTCTATTTTCCTGTGAACAAGTGTGTGCATCCAAATGTCTTTTGTGTTTGTGTGTGCGTGTGTGAGTGTGCAACACATTGGTGCAACAGACTCAATTTTCCTTACAGCTGCTGCTTCTCATGGAAAAAAAAAATCCCAACTCCAGCAATGCCAATGAAAGCTGGCCACACAGCAGCTCTGTACATCTGCTAGCCTCTCAGGAGTCGACAGTCTATGTTAGATGCCCTTATACATCAAACGTAGACCTTTCATAATAGCCCCCCCCCCACACCCTTGCTCTGCACATTGCAGCACCTTCATCCCAGCAATGTCAAGCTCCACGGTGGGTTACAAGTTTCTAATCCAGGACAAGCCGTCCCCTGACATTAAAGTGTCAGGCCAGTATTTATGCCTTGTTGGACGCTGCTGTTTGGCTGAAATTGTAGGACGTGTGTGTGTGTGTGTGTGTGTGTGTGGTAACGTGTGTGTGTGTGTGTGTGTGTGTGTGTGTGTACGTGTGTGTACGTGTGTGTGTACGTGTACGTACATATTTAGGAAGATCATATGATCCTATGCACCGCACTTTAAAAGTAGTTAATAGTTTGTAGTACTCACAGACAGGTGCATAACATACACATACAGTCAATTATAGGCTCTGGCACCTTGAAAAACACCCATACTCATTATTCCACACTCCTTTGCCCCAGCCGTATCACACACACAAGCCCCCACACACAATGCATCTTGTCCTTTATCAGTGGTCACATTAACTCCATTCCTCTTTCCAGGTTGTTGTACCAGACTTTATGGCCACTGCACCATAACCCTCTTATATGTGCCCCCCCAATATTTCTCATCCTCATGCACTTTAGGTCTTTGAAGAATGAAACGTTCTTGATGGCAGATTGATTTCTGAAAATATCAGAATACATCTGTTTTCTTGTGACCCCCCCCCACCTCAGAGATGGACACTGAAAGGATGGGAAGAGATAAATAAATAGATAAATTAAAGTCTGAGTGATTAATGTGTGCATGCGTGTCTGTCTGCCTGTTTGTGTCTGGGTGTTGGGTGGGTGGAGGGGGGCCCCGGGGGTCCCTTGCCACCAGGTGCGGCCTGATATATTGGCTGCTCATGTTATCAGTGAGGCCCCCACATTTACCGTCATTTTTACTGCTTCCTATCCCGACTCGTGGTGGCAATTTTCCAATCTTGCCGGGTTCCGCTACCAGAATGCGTTTTTTTTGCCATCACTGTCGCCTGACGGTTTTTAGCTAATGCTATTTTGTGCCATAAATCCTGCTTGAAATACTGTATCTACCTGTCCTTTGGCTAGATAGGAGACATTTGGCTCTAGATGACCGCACATGGCCCTATATATCCCCTTGTTGTAAAACATAGGATTGGGTATTGTGCCTCGCTAGGCAAGGGATAAAGAGGCTTTGGTGGTGTTACTGCATATGGGGTCATTTGAAGACAAATGGCACTTGTCAGAGATAGAGGGGTTTATATGTTGTATTATTTGCAACAATTGGAAGGTTAACTCATGTGGATAATTTCCTTCACTTTCAATGTAAGGATTTAGAGTGGTTAATTAAATTAAAAAGAACTTTTGAACCTTTCATTGTCTCTTTTATTACTTCAATGCTAGCATCATAAGCAACCAATTGTAAGCCTTGATAATGTCAAAGCCACTCTAAACTTGACCTTACACATATATTCTAACATATCTGAAATGAGTGTGTGTGATGTAGATTTGTAAAACACAAGGCTCATACACTACAAAAACAGTTTTCTCTTTTATTACATTGACACAGTGCACATCCCCTCAGATTAAAGGGATTTTATTCAACATGTACATAGCAAAGAGATGAAAATCATTTAAATATTGTAGAAACACTTCAACTGAATATTGCTCTTGACACAGTGGTATGATGCACCTCTGACCCAGACGACCCCTCTCATAAATTCCACCAAACCTAATCACACACTCTCGCCTCTTTAATTCCACACTAGCGTCGACCTCTTTAGCCCTCCTCCTTGTAGTAGCCCTCTACATGGGCGTGGGTCACACTCGCAGCTTTTTTATCCCCAGAGGGTGGGTTTTATACACGCACACTCACTCACACACACACACACACAGCACTTTGACCAGTGTAGCTTGTCTGTTTGATACCAAGTGCCTCCTGACCCACCCTGACCTCCCTCTTGTACACACACAGCCAGATTGCTTTATGAAATAAAGCTGTCAGATGCAAGACCCAAATAAAAAACAACCCCCCCCCTCAATTCTCCATGCCCCTGACACCACTGAAATATAGATATAAATTGGATGTGGATTAGTTTTTTTGATCTTCATTCAAGTTTTGACAAGATATAGGAAGTAAGAAGTTGGTTAGAATTGGTTCCGGCTTCACAAAAATTAATTTAACAGGTATTTGATTTTCACAGGTGTAAACTTGGAAGTTTATTTTTGGACTGGTGCCACAAAAATTGCTGGGTTTTTTGATAAAAGACTATATGAGGTGCTATTTTATTTTTGTTGCTGGCAGCCCTGGTTAAAGTGACTAATGTGTGCAATGCATGTATTTGTCTCTTCATTTGTGTTTATGAGTGTGTTCTTTCCACTGAAACTGGACTGAAACTTAAATGACAGGCAGGCTTGTTTGCTATTCACAGAATGTCATACAAGAAGCTCTGGAGCCCCGTCCCCGGGTCTGAGAGTTTTTTGTGATTGCCGTTTTGTTCTGGCTGGTAGACTAGTGCGTGATAACAGCGTTCGGTGATGGCATTGTGGGGAAAAAAACTATTTATTAGACTTCCATAGTGCATGAGATTTATAAATCTAAAAAGCCTTACTTTTGATCCCTCTTACTGGTGACAATCATGGATCCGCCTGCTTAATCAAATCTGCTCCAAAACTAAACATTTTCAACATAGCCCACACCCCACTGCTCCATCAAGTTTCAATAAATTGGTTCAGTAGTTTTTTTGCATAGTTCTGCTAACAGACAGACATACAACTCAGGATATACGAATTAACTCGAAATCTTTGTTCTTATCAGTTAGACAGCTAGGAAAACATGTGAATGTGTGTATTTCTGTGAATGGTGTCTATGGGGATTTAAGTTAAAGCTGCCTCCTCTTTTCCTTTAGAACTGTGCCAGTTCTCGACCATCCAGCTCGGTCACCAGCTCTCGTCCTGTTAGTTTCCCACTTGGAACGACCCCAAGCCAGGAGGAGGAGACCACCAATACCTACATGCCAGACCCAGGCAAGGACGAAGAGAGGACCACAGGTTAGTTAAGGAATGGGTTAAAAATGCAGAACCACAAAACATTTAGCATACGCATTTAGAAGTGAATGAGAGTTTTAACTATTGATGGACAAGAAGCCACCACTATTACACTATTTTCCACAAAGTTTTAAATAGTTGATCAGAGGATTTGAACTGGCTTTCTTTGAACATGATAGAAAGTCACAGGATTGCTCGTTAATTTGATTTCTCTGGTGGCCTTGCTTCTCAAAAAGCACAACCAATCCCCTGTCACTTAAAAAGAACGCAGAAGGCCACCCATTGTGTGATATTTTTTATAGTCAAATGAAAAATGAAATCTGAATATATAAGAATAAGTGAAATATTTAGTGGGTTGTGTACCTTTTTTTCTTAATGTACCTTTTAAAGAGGCCAGCATCTGTAGCCTTGCTTTTCAAATATTCTGTCAGAAGTGGTAGTTTTCACTGTGAAGGATTTTAATTTTCAATGTACTGTGTCGTACCACAAATGCAGCAACGGCTTTTGTGTGTGTTGTTGTGCGTGTGTGCTAACTGTGCTTGCGTTAGTGCATATGGGTGTGTGGCAAACAAGGTAGGCTGCACCCAATTCACCACAACACTCACCATACATAAACACTTTCCTCAGGGTGATCAGTTGCACTTAATTTGGAACACCTCGCTAAAACTAACACAGTTTTATAGAACAGACCAGCATTAATCTGTATTTTCATTAAATTATTATCATAATAATATCATTATTTTAGATTTTTGTCAAAAGTCTTTTACAGAGGTGTAATTCAACTTGATGGCTATTGAGGAGGCTGTAGTTAGTTTGTGGCGATGTCAGTCGTGGTGCATTACACTTTTTTTGTGAGATTTATTTTTAGTACACAAATATGTACATGTATACATATACTCCCCCAACCTTTGCCCCACTGGCATATCTGCAATGCATTACTGCGAGTCACTGTGAAACAGAGAGTAGTGGCTGGCCTGTTGAGTGAAATCAGACATCTGAAATCTCCTGTTAAACTTTAACACTAACCAGACACCCTGGCTTCAATCTAGCTGCCTAACCCTTGCTGCACTCAGCTGAGTTAAGAGTCATTTGGTTGTGGAAAAAAGATTGGAGACACCAGTTTCGAGAAAGGGAAAGAGAGGGAGAGGTCAGTCCCTGGTTTGATTCTGTAACTCAAAGCCAGTCTTAGTGTCAATCATCATTGTATCGCCCCAGCTGATGGAGCATTTACAGCGTTTGAGAATTTCTATTTTTCCTTTTGGGTTTTTTTTACGTGCAAAATGTATGAAAACATAGAAAAGAAAGATGAAGGGGAGAATATGCAGAGAAGGAAAATATATCAGCTTAGATTACGCTGACAAACATCTGAAGTATGGGCAGGTCATGACCCTCCATTTATCGGAAAACCTAAACTGATTGTTAATATTTCTCCAGTGTTTTAAGGAAAAATTTTAGCTAATGAGTGAATCTGCTTTTTTTAAGGCTTTTTACACTTTGGTTTTCTTTATTTGTGTTGTTAAACCTTCATTTGATTGATTGATAGAATAATTTATTATTAAATAATGCACCATATTGTCATGTAAATACTACGTGAGCAACGGTTTCTGACGTGCACAATTATGATGTTCACATTTGAATTGTACATGTGCTCTGTGTAATACCACAGCGTTTTGTCCCTCTGCACAATCTCACACTGTGATTTACAGTGTTTCCTTTGCAGGTGATTTGCATGGTCCCTGACACTATAATCGTCTCTTCCATTCACTCAGCACGCAGTAGTTAAAGCGGTCCCCATCTAACGTTACATGACTGAGCCTCCATCACAGCCTGACAAATCAAACACGGCTGAGATAATAATGTTTTCAATGTAACACAATTTACAAAATAATTGATTGTGAGATCATATTATTCAGCCCATTTGCTGCCCCTCCATTCTGCTGCCGCCTCAATGCTACAACATGCAAATGTGATCGGCTGCGTGTGAGTGAGTGCCGGGGCTGGGGTTGGCAACAGAGTGCTCATACAGTACAACCTAATGTTACTGTATGTACAGCGTCGTGCTGCCGGGACCCTCACAGGCAAACATGTACTCTCAATAGACTGCAACTATGACAGATATCACTCACCAGTTTATACTCGTATACTACATCAGAGGGGAATATTTGTTTACATTCCAGAGTCTGTGCTAACATGATTCAAACTTACCTGTGATGCTGTAAAAGGGATGAATCAAAAGATGTAGGTGTGGGCAATTCACAAGGATTGTGGAACGCTCAGAAAAAGGTATTGACATTTTTGTATTTAATAGAAAGTAAATCATTTTATTCATACATTCACATCAGTATCTATTTGCTTGTTTGACCAGTGTCTTTGGAGGGTACGTGGACAGTTTGACTGAATCAATGTTTAACTTCAAACGCTATCTCCAAAACATAAAATCATGTTACCTTTAACAAGCCACGCCCTGCAGTACATTAAAATGTTTTCCTATTTCTGTCATTTTCAAAATAACAGTAAGAAAGCAAAATGCAAATCATGCCAGAATCTTGCTTTTTGGGAGATGTAGGTTTTAACATGGGACTATATGGACTATATGCTCCACATACAGGACAAAGCGTCTTCTCGCTGTAAATCACAAGGAACAAACAAGCAGATGGGCCCCATTTTTCCTAACAATAACCACAGCATCTCCTAAGTAATAGTGGTATCTTGAATGTACAAGGTCAGAGCCTTCTTGGTAGGGTGCGTGTGAAGTGGGGGGGGTGTTTTGCTTTTGATACCGTTAAGTCTTTTCCATCTTTCTGCACTCGAGTTTCACAATGTCCGAGGCAGACATTGGGTTATGTTGAGGGTACACTGAAAAGAATATATACAAGGTAAAGCACAAACTGTAGCTGTGAGCACAAAAGGAAGGACATGTTTATATTAAAGGAGTAATAAAGGAACAGGGGGTTAAGAGTGGTAGGGTTTTGAATTGAAATTGAAATGTTACCTTACATCATCTTCTAGCTTTGTTAAAGCCTCCCTCCCAATGAGCAAGATGGCCAAGCAGGCATCTTGTTTTTCTTGGTTCATGTTTTGAATTCAAAAGGTCATTGCATCTTCAGTTGGTATCACATTTGTGTCCATTAAAGTTCTCTGTTCCTACAATGGATTTCCATCAGTGAGATTCCCGAGAGGCTGTGTATTTGATCAACATAGATAAAAATGTGATTTTAACCTCAGGGAGCAAAATCAAAACAGCATCATAGCATGTAATCCATCATGATTTATTGGCTTGCTTGCTCATTTCACGTCACGTAATGTCATAGCTCTGTCAGTAGGTGGCGAAGTCACTTGAGACATGAGTTAAAAGTTACATTACCATTCTGACTCATGAGGTAATTTGCCGCTGGAAAAGAACGAGCTACTACGTTCCCTTGCTGCTCTTTTAAACTATTTCCAGGTTTGTTTTTATGACATAAAATCTTTCTGAAACAACATAAACATTTACAGACATTGTGCAAAGGTATGATTGGTTTTGTGGTTTCATTTTGGTCAATTCTATTTAAAGGAAAAGTAACAATAAATCTGCAGTTTAATGGGGTCTATGTTCTGGATTTTTCCACAGTGTTGCCCGGTTGGCCAGTTGGCCACAGTTAGCTTACGTGTATATGTACAACATGCTTCTTTGTGAGTTCAAGGCTATTTGGGTTTCTTTAACCCAATGTAAAGGGTTCAAAGTGTCAACTTACAAACTTGTGGTTGAGAATGAGGTATAAGGGCCATGCATGCGTCATTGTGAGGGAGCTTGTAATGGGAGATAAACAATGCAGTGCTGAACAGTGTGTTTGTACAACATGTCCGGTAGACTGTCCGAAATGAGACCGATTGGTCCAATGGCGTGTTGAATTCTGCCTTGTGGTCAAGATGTTTTTACCCGATTGTGTTCTCTGTTGCCCCTTAACCTCTTTGTGGTTAGGTAAGGCTGGGTTCAGGTTAAGGGAAGGGGAAATGCATATCAGTGGGGAAACCAACTTCCACACAACAATAGTACTGGGCTCACTGTCCACTCACAACCAAGTTAGAATGTGCATTAATGCATTGAAGTAGTACTCAGCAGAGTATAAGTCACTGAGTATAAGTTGTCATCCTCTACCAACCCAATTCTCCCATCAACTTTTCTGTCAAGTATTTTTTTCAGTGTCTGTATTATAATTGAATTACCCGTCCTTGTCAGAGGGTTAAGTCAAGATTTAATGTGGTGTGATTTTAAAGTATTGATAGGTGCAGCATTAGATGATTCAGTTGTTGGTCTGTCCTGATCATTATCACCGGTGATCATCTTGTAATAATGAAAGAAGCGTACAATGGTTTGCAGTACCATGCTCACAAATTCATCGTAGAGAAACCTGATGTCTGGTGCCATTTTCAGTTTATGTAACCAAACTTGAAGGAACCATATGCCTGCACATTGCTGACATCTGACACCCCTTTCTTTTCCTCTTTTCCCAACATGTGTTCCCCAGCATCCCTCTCAATTAGGGGCCTTGTAGATAAAGTAGTGTGGCGGTCTATTGCATGCATCTTCTGCAGATTACACACAGGTCTCTCTCTGACCGTGGGGTTGACTCCCTCTTACCTTCCTCCATTCACACACCATCAGTTGTCATGCATGTTTAGCCCAGTTCATTGACATGCAACAGGATCCCCTGCTCTGAAAATTTAAAAAAATGAAATATTCCCTTGTGGAATGACAGCATGTTTGCAGCGATTTCATCTGGGTACTTGCTGTTGGATCAGTTTCTCTTATTGCAAGTCAGCTACTTTGGAACATGTGCATTGGATATGGTGCTGCACTAGTGCAAAAAGTCTTATTTCACAGTATTTTGATGAATTAACTCAATAATTTCTTGAAATATCAATAAAAGTGATCATGTTTTAAGGATAAACATTAGTTATGCATAAGAGAGCTTATGATGCATTTGATTATTAAACAGCAAGGTAATACAAATCTTTCGTAG